TTATATTTCATAAAAATTATAAATATTTGCTATTTTGATCGCATAATTTATTATTATTGATTTCTTCACTAATTTATTTATCTTGTTTTATTATTTTATATGAATGTTACTGGAGCTTTATATAATTTGATTATGTTTTATTATACTATATATTTTTAAGACTTATTTAAATGACATAAGATGCCATTATCATTATAATTAATTCAGCAAGTATGAAGTATTGTAGAATGAAATGTATTATTACGGTGGTGACTAAAGAAAAGGATCCAATGAATTTGGCATTTAATACAATAATTTAAAATTCGCAAAAAGAGAATCGAGAGAGAGAGAAAGAGCGAGAGAGAATAATAAAACAATCGATAATAGAATTAAATTACATAAAATTAATTATAATTTCCTTAATTTCGCTTATTTCCTATAAATAGTGGCCAGCATTGAAGGCACTGATCTGATCATACCTCAAGTGAAGCGTCAGCATATGGGCGCCTATCTATGCATTGCCTCGAATGGAGTGCCGCCCTCAGTGAGCAAGAGGATAACTCTCGTAGTGCATTGTAAGTATATAAAGATACAAATTAATAGAAAGCTACAAAATTCAAGAAAAAGGTGTACATCATTTAAATTATCTACTATTTCATTTCAGTTCCTCCCATGATCAGTGTGCAGAATCAATTAATTGGCGCCGTGGAAGGCAAAGGTGTTACACTGGAATGCCAATCGGAAGCCTATCCCAAGTCCATCAACTACTGGACACGTGAACGTGGAGAAATTGTGCCACCAGGTAAATGATATAAACCAAAAATATATTCAAATACCAATAATATTCCTGTTAGAGCTTTGCCACTTTTTTATGGATTTATAAACACTAAAAATTACTAAATTAATTTTATATAAATGAAATTTCATTTACCATTCCAATATATATATACAATTAAAGTCAACCAAGTGACGTGTATTTCAAATACCAAATATAGTTTTCAACTATATTTCAACTGGAAGCCAGCTGGCTGACATTTTAGTGTCAAATATGCTAATGAAAATTATCATTAAGCAATTCATAATCCGCGACAAACGCATTACCAGGCGACAGCCCATTCATGTGTTTGTGTATATGTGTGCGTGTGTCTACTGTAGAGTCCCAATGGATAACGACCCCTAACAGGCTAATGCTAACCCAAACCGAATTACCAGCTAGCTGATGACCGTTGAGTGCAGAGCTCGCGCGAAAAAACTTTTTAATTAGCTGATTTAGTAATACGAGTGCGAATTACATTTGAAACCAACCCACACACATAGAGCCCGGATAGAGGATTCCCAGCCAAACCAGACCTAATGACGTTTGCCAGCCACACTTCAGCGGTTACTCTGTCTGGGATATGTGTGTCTGCCCACTGCAGCATCGAGAAGAGCAATTTATGACTTGTTGTACCTTGGATGCATTTTAGATAGGGGTTATAGGTTTATGGCAATGCGTGAAATAGGCAGAAAAAAGTAATCGAGAATGCCTTTAAATATATATATTTTTTTTTCTGATTATTACAATTTCTAGATCTGTTTGTTTTTATCCAACCAAATCTTGGAGAATGTAATTCATGTGAAACTCAAATTAGATATTTCTATACATTTTTCGTAGCATAAACCAACATTTGTATACCCAGAACCCAATGGAATGATGAATGAAAATGGGAATGTTGTTATAACAGTATTTAAATCATTATTTCATATATATATATATTGAAGGATTGAAYGAATTGCGAAACTAGATACTCGCTCAGGCTATATTAGTTAGTGACGTCCAAAGATCTGCTATTTTCAGGAGTAGAACTAGGAAAGGACTTAGACGTCAATACTGCGAAGACAAACTGAGCAGGCTCTTGGACTTTAAGTCCATCAAATATACCCATTAACCATCTGTGACATTTTCATCCTAAAGGCTCTATTCCCTTAAGATAGATTTTCGTTATTCCTTATTTTTCAGAGTCTTACAAAATATATTGATTTAATTTCTGTTTAAGTTAAAGGCAAAACCCTAAGCCGCAAATAGTTATTAAACA